CCGCTATCTCATTCTAATGACTTTACCACATTAGGTTCCATTGTCAAATGTGCATTGTCTCACAAAACAGATGAATATGGTGAACTGGTATAGAATTCAGCAGAACATTTTTGGCAGTGGGAAAACTATTTCAGGTAAAATTAAAATGGCTTCTTAATCATTGTCTACAATGCCTTTCCCACAAATGTCAAGCTATTAGGATCTGCAAGTTAGCCTTACCTCTATCACAAAGAACAAGATATGTGTTAGATCTGCAATCTGCAGTGCTAGGTTCAAAGCTGTGCATTTTTATTTGCAGCCACTGCTAAATAAAAATGTGCAGTGACAGCTTGGAACAAACAAAAGCTGTTAGTGAGATTCAAAATGTGTGTATTAGTCTCTATTTTTAATGTAAATTCTCTCTTTCCAGTCCTACATGCATTCCAGTTAGACATTAAAAGACAACTAGGGTATTCTGGGTCTTATTATCTGTCCCTAAGCTGTAAATATGCACTGGGGCTCTGCAGTGCTCATTTGAATGCTTACTGGTAATGACTGGACCATCATTAGCAAAAACAAATAGGGACTCTGTGCACAGAACTGAAGTGCTGACAGGGTCGCTCAGTTCTATCCTACTTCCTGAACTCACACTGTGCTAGATTCTTTATGCACACTTCTACAGGGGGACTTCTCCAAGCCCCATGGTTTCAATACCACATGTTTGCCAGCGATAGTCAGCAATACCTCTCTAATCCATCACTCCGTGCAGCCATCCAATCCCACATGTCCACCAGTCTGCCTGACATTTCTACTTGGATTTTTCATCACCATCTCAAACTAAATATGTCTGAGACCAAACTTCTCATGCTTCAGCTTTTTGCTCAGGCATGAAGCCTTAACTTTATACTTGATTCCCCACTCTGTTTTGCCTTTGCTTCTCATACTGAGCTTGCTAGCAACTCACATTTCTTCTCCTGTCACATCATTGCACAAATACATGGCTTCCTCTTAGCTTTCCTCTCAGTATAACTGCTGGTTCACACTGAAGTAAGCTCCTGTCCTTATTACTGCACCCGTCACCTCTCTGGCCTTCCACTGCCATATCCCTACCTCATCCCCTTTTCCCCTATTCAAAAATCATTAATCTCTCTCATAATTTAGATTATAGTATGCCCCTTCTTAAATCTCTTCACTGGCTTCCTATTCAGTCCTTTATGCAAGGCATGGTCCCCATCCTTACATTCAAAATCTCTGTCCTTAGAACCCTGCTTATAACCTGTAATTCTACAATTCTACTCCGAAACCCCTGAAAGTCATCCTGGTCCTTCAAATCATTTAACACTTTTCTTCCATGCTTTCCTTATGACTCTCCTGCATATCAGGTAACTTGATAATGAGATAGGTGGTTCCTTAGATAGTCACACTCTAAGCTGACATGATGATGAGAAGATGATTTTACTATTTCATTCATATACTTCTGAATAGCTAAAGCAATTTGGGCAATTCACAAAAAGTGCACATCACAATCCAAGCTGTACGTGATACAATGTTCAACACAAACTTTTTATATAATATAATCCTGAGCCTGATGAAAACAACAGACATATATGTTAGTTATATGCCATGACATGTCTGGGAGTAAATGACAGTCTTAACTGGGAGGCAGCACCAGGCAGATTTTGGTGGGGAGAGCATTCCATAATTGGGAAGCTACCAATGAGAAGGCAGTCTGTCTTGCTGCTAACTTCCAGGCCTCCTCAGAGAAGATGCTCAGAGGAAGGCCTCAGTTGTTGATTGTAGTATCTGGATAGGTTCAGAACTTTAAAAATTAAAGCCAAGACCTTGAATTAAACTCAGAAAGCAAATGGCAATCAGATGACTTGATACTGGGACAGAATGGGCTTAACAAAGTACACAGGATAGTGGTGTAGTAACTACAGTCTGCAGTAGTTGAATCTTCTGGATGTTCTTCAATATGTTGGGATATGGATAACTCTTGACAAGTCAGACTGATTCAGGAAAGCTTGCAGCTGTCACACTAAATCTAATTGGGCTAATGTACTCCTTGCCACCACCTTCCCCACTAGCATCACTATCTGAAAAATCAGAGCCAGTGCAGGATTAAAGCCAGTGCAGGCAGTACTCCCAAGCTGAAAACATGGGCATTAAAGGTGTGTGCCCCTTCCAGGAACAGGTCCAGACCGACATTTACCCAGATCACCACTCCTAGAACTTAACAGGTACAGCCAACTGGGTGACTTTGGGCCAGTCACAGACTCTCAGCCCAACCTACCTCACAGGGTTGTTGTTGTGGGGATAAGATGGAGGAGGAGATGTAAGCTGCCTTGAGCCCTTTGTAGGAAAAAGGCAGGATATAAATCGATAAATAAATAAATAAAATAAAATAAAAAATGTACTGGAGAAATGTATATTTTTGGAAAAAAAGTTGCATGAAAAAGGTGCTCATTTTACTTTATTGGATAAGAGAAAATGCATATATTTGAAAAATTTGTGCAATTGAGGCACACATTGGGAAAGTGCACATGAAAAATGAATGGAAACACAACTCTCCTCCTTTCTCAAAGCCTACAATCTGATACAAAAACTAGTCCAAATGAACGTTGAGGCTGAATTTGGAAAACCTCAAGAAGCTTGAGCTTTGATGATTTGCTATCACTGTTGCTTACCAATCTGTGAGGCCAAGTGCCTTACAAAAAGTGAAAAGGATAATAAGCGCAATGCATCCTTGGCTAGACATTGTTTAGGCAAGCACCATCTTGATGGCCTAAAGTTTGTCTTCATCCTGAAGAGCAAAAATGGCAGGCGATACACAGAACCCATTTGTTGGTGGAGTACCACCTCTTGTACTTGCTTTTTAATCTCAAATCATGTTCTTCAATATTCCAATATAAATCTCATTTAACTAGTTGTGACAATTGCTCTGTCCAATTAACACAGCCTGGACTTTTATCTACATATGAAAATTGCACTTATTCTCTAAGGCTGCAATTCTAAATTCATTTAATAGACAGTGAATCCTAGTCAACCTAGTGAGGTTTCACTTCTGTAAAATCTTGTATAGGGTTCAATAGTAAACCATTGTAGTAATCCTTGCAAGCCATCTGCATCATTATAATTATTTTTCCCCTTTTATTAAGATAGGCACTAATTATGTGCTGTTAAAGGAGGCAGAAATAGGTGAAAAAAAGGCATGAGCATAAGTAAATGTGAAATGTAATTGCTGTGGTCTGAGTGACCGCATCTGTATGCAAATCTGTGCCATGTTTTGTTGCTTATTTTCTCATAATGGCTCTTGTTTGCCATGTTTCCTGAGCTGAAATGCCCATTCTTATTAAATAGTTGCAGTCTAATGAGACTGTTATTTAAGAGTCCATCTTGCATGTAGGAAGAATATATTTAGCTTTCATTGTGGGAGAGACATAACCAAGAGGGGATTTTAAGTTCAAGCAACTGGATTCCATAATATTATCATAATACAGGGAGTAAGATTACCCAGCTGTTCTTAATTTCTCCACAACTGAAGGACCCTTCATTAGATGATATTCACCTTCAAAAATTATTATTTTTATGCGTGCGTGTGTGCTTGCACATCTGCAGGTGTGTATATGGGCATGCAAAGAAAGGGCAGAACAGGGCTTCAGATAGCTACTCTTGGAGTTTGATCACTGGGCTGAGCTTGAGGAAAGCCAATGTCAGTCCCAGAAAGCGTGGGGCATTGTAGTTCTCCAAGTTTCAAATGCATGATGAAATTATTATTTGCTCTTTGCTTTTCCTCCCATATTTCTCACAGACTGCAAAGGTGGGGTGGGGCATATTGGCCCCAGAGGGAACACAGAAGGGGATGACAGGGGCACAATAGAGAAGGCCTTTCAGATGGGACCATTTCTGCAACTGCATTACTTTCTCCAGCTGTCACCCTTAGTCTATTCATTCAAACTCTTACTGTCATCCTATTCAAGAAACTTAGTCTGCTGACCAATTGATGAGATCTGAATATATTTGCTTATAACCAAACAGATAGTTTGATGCAAGGGGGATTCTTTTTCATTTCAAATGACATGTGTGCATGTCATACAGGAATCCGTTTAAGGTCAGAATGGAAAAGGGAAGTGCTTCTTTTAAGACATGGAAGTAGTTACATGCAGGTATAAATGATTCTATTATAGCATTTTTTTAGGAAAAAAGGCTGACCATTGCAATGCATTCTTTGTAGTTCTAACCTTGAAGAGTTTCACTTGTTGGAAAATGTGGGAATTAGAATGTTAACAGTACAAAGTACAATATTATTACGCCAATATCAAAAGAACTACACTGGTTGCCCATTGTTTTCTGGGCTCAGTTCAAAGTATTAACTTTTAAATCTCCAAATGTTTCAGGGCCTGGCTATCTAAGGGAGCCACTTTCATTATGAATCTATATGGGTATTCACATCTGCAGGAGAAGTTTTTTTGAGGATTATCACCTCTTACAGAAGCCATTTGCTGTGCATGCAGGAAGGGGCTTTCTTCTGTATCAGTTCCAAACTGATACAGTCATCAGTCCCATTGCTCTCCCTTGTGAATTAGAATTTGCTCCATTTTACACTTTTTCAGAATGAGTCTTTGATCCTGTTGTCTTAATCAGATATCTCGTTGCATTGTTATGTATTTTCTTCCTTTTTGTGTCCTGCATTTTAAACTTAATTTCAGAATAGAAGTCCATAGGAAAAATAAAAGTAAAAATAAAGGAAAGGAGTTTTGTATCCTGCAAATGGGAAGAAGAACCTGAGGAAATGAATAGGACAGCAAGCACTTTATGGCTGAGAAAGAGTTTCAGACCAGATCTTCCAGTTTCTTAGTGTTTTTTCCAGACTACATCACCTGTCTTTAAAACAGTCAAACCCAGTCTGTATGGATTAGGAGAATTTTCATTCAGAATTTTCCTTCTATTGTCATTTTTGCTACAGAGTTGCCATTGCTACAGAGGAGGGTTTCTGAACTAGAAATAATGAATGTACTCACAATTCACAGTAACTCGGACTTGCTTGACATCTGCTGTGGAAACCTCGTTTGCAGCTTTGCATTCGTACTTGCCTGACTGCTCCCGCGTTATCCCCAGGATCTCCAGGAACTCTTCCTCACCTTCAAATTCTCTGCCTATAAACAGATCAAGAGGCAGTTCAGTTAATAATGTGGAGGCAGAGAATTCTAGTCCACACAAGTTCTGATTGTACCCCAAGGCCCTAAAATCTGTCAGGGACAAAAATAGCTGCTATTTAGCTCTCACAGTCCCTGCACACACCCAGTGAAACAAAAGTGGTTCAGTCCAACTTTCATGGAAAGGTATGGCTTGCATTCCTAGAGTATGAAACAACCAACAGTCCATCAGTACCCAGTGTCTACGCCAAAAGCTAAAGAAAGGGTTACTTTGCATAATAGGATAGCATGGCTCAACGTTATATTTCATATTTCATTTGCTCTGTCGAGAAGTAACTGCAGCATTTCCCCCCAGGAAGCTGCAGGTTTTACCTGTAAGCAGAGGGCAGAGGCTACTCAATTAGAGACTCTACTGGAGGTAATGTTAATGTAATGTCACAGAATAATGTATTCAGGGATGAAAACTAGCCTTGGGTAAAAATAATTTACTTCGAGTTACAAAAAGAAAAGTGAAAATGTATGCACAAGGCCTAAATTTAGACTCCTGCAAGCGAGGTTACATCTGCAAGGGCAAAAGTATTTCCTCTTTCTAAAACTGCCAAAGAAATAGTCCTGAATGGCAAATGACAAATCCCAACATTCCAGAGAATGAAAAGCAAACACATCCCCATTAACATTTTGCAAAGCAAGTGTAGGATCCATGATGACTACAGATGTACAATGCTGTCCTCACCCCACAATGTTACAGGTCATAATGAAAGTTCTGTGCTTTCATTTGAAATTTTTCCAAACTTTGAGTTAGAAAAACCTCCAAATTCATTTGGAGTGCTACTTTCACATTGATTTTGGTTAGAATCTATGCTAATGCTCCTTCCATTAGTCAGGGAACTCTGTCAAGGTATCTGTGGGCCCATGCTAATGAATATAGTATATTTTCCACTGTTCTGAAAGGGTGATCTTGTGTAACACACATACATTGCAGGAGAAGTAAGAAGAATTTGAAAGCAGATGTCTTCAGGGGAAATGGCCTTTTTTTTTTTTTTTAAAGTATTCCCTCCCATCTATGTGGAAGTTAGAAGGGCTAAAGCAGTGGAGATTCTTTAAATAAAAAGAAAAAAAATGATAGCTCCTCCTGTCTCCTCACGAAGAATCATGGAGAAGGAGAACGGGATGGGGAGAGATGAGGGTGAAATATGGAGTTGTGATTTATTTCTGAGTAGATATGCATTTCAGTTAGTTTTCATCTCATTGTTCCTTAAGGCAAAGGGGCAAAGGGGACATTCTAAATCTTATTTATTCAAAGGGTGGTGGTGGTGTGTGTGGGAGAACAGAATTGCAAATTAGAAAGAGAGAGACACTATGGGGGTAGGGAGGGAGATGAGAAAGCAACTGAAGGATTTCTAAGTTATTACTCATTTGCTGAAGCCCAGTAAGGCCCTTTCTCTCACCCCACTATCCCACTGAAGCCCCTATTTCTAGCCCCACAGTGCCACAAGTTTAGCACACTTAGTTATTTATACCTGGGGGAAAACACAACATATAAAATATCATGATATATCTGGTCTGAAGAAATCTGGGTTAAAATGGCAGGCATTGCATGGGGAGGATGGCTTGGGGTCAGCATCTTGTGACACAGCTGGAAAGAAAGCCTCATAGAAATCCAGCCTTGCTTACAGTCCAGTAATAGGTGGCACTATAGAACATGCATGATTATCAGAGGAAACCCTTCAAATGTCCGCTGAGCATGTGAATTCTGTTCAGGTTGTTCTGTGCTGAACACAGAAGGTTTAATGATTGAATAAGAAATCTACAATCCTATGGTGAATTATGTTGTTGGGGTTTAAAAGTAGCTACATTCCATGTTACTGCACTGGGTTCTACACTTACCAAATGCTTAAAGCATCTGATCTTAGCAATTTGCAGTATGCTGTGCAATATTAGGGGACTGCAGGTGGCGCTGTGGTTTAAACTGCTGTGCTGCTGGACTGGTTGATTGAAAGGTTGCCGGTTTGAATCTGCACAATGGAGTGAGTTCCAGTTGCTCTGTCCTAGCTCCTGCCAACCTTGCAGTTCGAAAGCATGCAAGTGCAAGTAGATAAAAAGGTACCACTTCGGTGGGCAGGTAACAGCATCCGGTGCACTTCGGTGTTTAGTCATGCCGGCCACATGACCACAGAGACTGTCTGCGGACAAACGCTGGCTCCCTCGGCTAGGAAACGGAGATGAGCACTGCCCCCTAGAGTCAGGCATGACTGGACTTAATGTCAAGGGGAAACCTTTACCTTTATCTTTTATGCAATATTAAGTTATGCAATATAACTGAATCTGTATGTACAAACTGGAACCTAACTATCCATGGGAATTAGCACTTCTTTGAATTAACAGTTCTTGGCAATTTAGCTATTAAAATACACATTTAAATTAGCTCTGGATAATTGCCACTCCCCAATCCTGGAATAAAATTTCAGGGCTCTGTGAATTCTAGAACATTGAGGGCTGTGTGCATGTGTGTATGTGGAGAACCATTAAAGATGGTTTGTCCTTTTTCCACACATGCAGAAGATTTTTTTTTGTCATTTTTAAAGTAGCGGCAAAGAACCCTCAGGATCTCAGGAGTGCTTCCTGGCAATATTAGTCTGTCTTGGTATTTACAGATTGTAAACCAGCTGGCTGTCTTGCAAAAGGATGGTATAGAAATGCATTGAAATAATAATTTTAAATCAGAAAATGTACATTGGAATAAATGTATTTTTAGATACATTTATTTTTAAACAGAAGTGATGATGTCACACATGTCTCCCTGGGAAGGGAGCTTCAAAATTGTGGGACTAGGCAACAGAGAAAACCCTATTATTTTCGCTTACCTATGGGGAATTGCTAGTGTGCATGAGAATAGGGCCTCCAATACTAATCTTAATGCTTTGGTAGGTTTAAGCAGTCTTTCTGAAAATAGGGTCCCAAACCAACTGGGGTTTCAAAGGCTAAACCTTGCATCTTAAACAGGGTGTGGAAATGAAGGACAGCTGTTATAAGCAATACAGAAAAGGAATAAGATGTCCTGAATTCATATTTCCCATAAGCTCCCCAATCTGTCTCAATACTAATATACAGAGGAAAAACATGTTTATGTTAAATACATATTTTTAAAAAGCACATATGTATTATGTGAAGGTCTGTAAACTCTAAGATAATGTAGAACAGAAGTGTAATTATGAGTAAAATTTGGAAAAGAGGCACAGAGCAGAGGCCTTAGGGAAAATCTGGTATATGTTTCGACAGAAAAAAATCCTATAGCTCTCAAGGTACCTCCAACCAGTCAGGTTGGCTAGGGCATGCTGGGAATTGTAGGGCTTTTTTTCCTTTCTGAACATGTGAAGGGTTTCACAATTAGACTATGATCCTAGAAAGATATATGCATTCACAGAGGCAAATACAACCAGAATGTCTTTGAAGTTTCTACTTCATCTACTTTTACAGCTGAATGCACAAGCCAACTTGAACTAAAATGTGAATGCAAGCAATTGCAGTGTAAACTAAAAAAGACACTGCTGTTGTGCACTTTTCTGCTCTTAATGTCCAGTACATTTATGCCACCATGGTGCTGACTCATTTGCTCTTGACTCTTCTGGCTCATGATATTCTCTAGTAAGGGTGGGAAAAGGTTCACCTGTGTTCACTTTTTCTGTTTGACAGGAGACTGCCTTCTGGCCATTGTATCAACCATGGTCATATAATGAATATTCTAGAGACATTACTAAAACTGGTATCCACAAAATGGATCAGGCAATCAGACAAAAATCAGGCAATCCTGAATACCTCCCATGGCTTGGGCATTGACACCATCATAGTTGGGGTGCTTGGTTATATGGACTCCATCCTCTGATCCTGTGCAATCAGTACACCCAAGATACATAAGGAATACCACTGACTTCCTAAGAAAGTATAATCAATTGATAATCTCCCAGCAAAGACCATTCTAGCTACCATAGATGTTGAAGCCCTGCATATCAACCAATCCCATTAAGACAGACTACAAGCTATTGCAGTGTGTTGTGTGTTGTATATGGTTGCTTTGTTATTGTTATTTATTTTGTTTTTGTAAGCCACCCAGAGACTTTTAATACTGGGATGGAATATAAAAACTTTAAATAAATTAAGAATATTTTTTCAGACATGGCTACAGAGCATTGAGCCACAAAACTCTGCTGCTGTGAGTTACTCATCCACAAATATTTCAGCTCTGGGGATAATATATACTTCGGACCTGTGGTAATACAATGGATAGTCAGATAGTGCTGCAGTATGCTCACATTTTCATAGTTAATTGGAACAAAACTTTCTAAGCTCCAGCTTTCCAAAGCCTCTTCTCTAACTAAGAGTCATTGATGATACCTTTATTATCTGACTCTTATGTGAGAGGGCCTCACAAAATTTCATCAGAATTTTTTCTCCACAATCAACCTGAGCCAGAACAGTCTGTGTAAGAGGTTCACTTTCTGGACACAATAGCACAATGACATAAGGTGGTAGAAACACAAGACTGCATGGAAAGCTTATAGATTGCTGCATGTACCTACATGTTTCCAGTTCCCATTCAAGAACACACCATATTGTCTGCAATCCACTCCTACCTTACAGATGCATCTGCTCCGACCCATAAGTCAACTTAAGGTTCAACTTGGGAATCCAGCTACAATATTCACCCAACAAAGTGAATAAACAGATCAACAGGGCTAGGCTGATACTCAGAAATACTCTCCAACAGGACAGAAGAATGTGTAGATTTCTGTGCAAATGGATGCATACATTTGGGGAAATGTTCATGACAGGGATTTTTAAGAGAAAACAAACAAAATTTGCAAAACACAAAACACAAGTCAAAGGTGAACTTGGAAGACTTCATTAAGTTTAAATTTGCTGATGCACACATCCATAGAATACCTCCTGAAAACATAGAATTTAATTATATAGCATGCTAAGGGTGCTCAAGAACCTCGTGT